ATGGAAGTTTGTCTGTCTTGGAAGCCAGGTGTGTATAAATCCCACATAGCTAGGACTTGCTTAAGTGATGATGATGATGTTTATTACAGAGTTTCTAATTCTGTGAGTTTTTCTGGACATGATAAACAGTCTTGATAAAAATTTTAATGTTTAATAGTGCAAAATATTCACCAATTCACTGCTAAGATATAGGAATCGGGAAAGGTAAAGCTTTGTTTTAAAGTTTAACATGTTACTGAAGTAATTCAGGCTCTCTGTGGGGTTTTATAATAGTAAAGTCATCCAGATTAGCGGGACATTTTCTACCTCCTGACCTTTCTCACACAGAATGATTTGGGAATCAAGTAGTCGGAGTGTGTAGAGCGGTTGCAATTCCTCACCACGGTTCTGTGTTGCCCCAACCTATCACATACTCCATCCAAGGAGCCTAGAATCTTACCTGCGCCAACACTGCAAACATGGCGGCCCTGGCGGCATTCCTGCAGGAGCTACTTCTCCCCTCCCCCCCCAGTCACCGCTGACCTCTTCAGCTTCTTGGTCCACCGCTGTTTGTTGTCACAGCGTCCCTCAGCGTGCAGGATCATGGCAGATGTCCCCAGGCCCCACCTGGAACTCTTGGCAGTGCTGGGACTCAGCTGTGGCCTGGACCTTCCCTCTCCTCCAGCCCCGTCAGCAGGGCACCCTCGCCGGCCAAGCAGACTGACCGCGCCACTTCAGAGCATCCACATCAGGCTCTCACCTCACGGGACAATTTAAAACAATAGTAAAGTTGGATTTTAGCTTAGGTGTGAGGAGATGGGAAGAACTGAGAAGCCAGCCTCAACATTGTAAGTCTGAATGCATGGAAAAGGCCGTCCACCCCTCTCTTCTTACCCCAGCTTTTGGAATCCGGATGTAGATTCCAGACAAGAGAAGATGGACAAGGCAGGAGCAGACTTACTGTGGTGGGGCTGAGGTGAGCACAGGAGAAATCCTACCTGCAATGACAACACTCCTTGCAGGAAGCAGTTTGATGGCATCATGCCGTGTGGTCCCCAACAACCCTGCGAACTAGTCAGGAGCTATTATTAGCTCCGTTTTACAGATGAGAGGCACACCAAAAGAGCTTAAATGACTGGTGCAAGCTCATCTGTGGCAAAATCCAGATGTTTCCCCATAAATTCGAGTCCAGGGCTCTGTCTCTTCTCATTCTTATCCTCCGGAGCCTCACCTTGTGAATCTAGTTGGGAGTGTCCAACCTTAAGCTTCATATCACTCCTATAAAATAACTGTTCTGATAGCCAAAGAACCAGCACTATTTGCAGTTCAGGCACCACAGGTCTAAAGCCTAGAGAAGTGAAGAGCTTCAGCTTAAAATGAGAGTGAGCTCTCCCACCTACAGGATAGAACATTGTCCCGTCCACTGCTCTCAGCATTTGTGAATGCATAATTATGAGTTTTATTGCAGAATAGTTTTTGGTACAATTTGCCAATGAAGAAGCAATGGCGCAATCACAGTGAGAATAGATGCAGTGCAAAGGCAGCGTATTGCCTGGAATTAATCGTTGCACAGCCATGAGAAAGAAGGTGCTTGGTGCTTTCCTTACTGGCACAGCAGAGCAGAGAGGTTCCGATGCCTGCACTCCATCATCTGTCTCTACCCAGAGAATCCACAGAGATCAGAGGGGACAGTCAACACCAGCTGCTGGAGGCAGAGCTCCTGAGAGCATCCCAGCTCTTAGGAGAGCAGGAGGCAGGCATTAGTGTCGGTCAGTATCTCCCCTGAGAGGCCGGATGAATCAAAAGATGAGACTGCAGACCTACCTTGACTGCAAGCAGACGTCATTTCTGTTTCGGTCTTGAAAATGTCAATGTCACAGCCAGGACACAGCCTAGAAGGAGCTCAAGACTGTGATCTCGGGGACCTTGCATTTGCCTCTGCACTCTGCCCCGAGGGTCTGTGTGGCCCTAAGCACGCGGTTTAACCTCCTGCACCTCGGGTTCATCATCTGTAATATAGGAATAATAGCTAACAGCACCCACGACAAAAGGTTGTTGTCAGGACTGAATGAGGTGAAGCATGAGAAGCACTGAGAAGAGAACCTAGCAGAAAGTAAATCGATGTTTCCTTTTCCTGTCTGTGATACCTCTTACAGCTTTGGCAGTGGTCTAAGCCACTTAGATCACTCAAAAAAAGGAACCCACTAAAGTCACTTCCAGCTCTAGGCTTCCCTGATTCTGTGCCCAACCTAGAATACTTCTCCAGGCATGGTGCACCATGGTGCTTGTTAGAAATGCAAATTCCAGGCCCTGTTGCAGACATTCTAAACCAGTATCTCAGAGTGGGGCCAGGATTCTGTGGTTTAGCATAACCTTTGGGTGATTTTCTAAAGTTGGATGAGTATCGTCTCAGAATCTTCTTTACTGAGAAACTTCAAGCCAGATGCCCACTTTCAAGAATTCCAGTAATGGAGCTGTGTGGTGAATGGTGCCTGGGGGGATCACATGTCGTCTTAGTTCCCTGTGACGTGTGGGCTGGCTGGAAGCCAGGCATTTGGAGGGATTGTTCAGGACCTCTACATGATCGGCTCAGTTAATTAAGAAGAGGGTGATGCTGAGAGTGAGAGGAGAGTCCTGGCTGTGGCAATTCCAGCAATAATGCATTAGGCTAAGTTGTAGCCCCAGTTTTTATATTATTTTGACTTTAAATCAGAGTTGCACCTCCATCCCATATTTGCAGTCCCAACTGGAGATTGCAGGACCTTGAAGGGTCACCTTCAGCTACATTTATCTTTTTTAACTTGAATTCAGCTAAGTCTCATAAAGGAAACTCTGAGAGGTCTTTGAAATAGACTACTGGGCAGTGAAAATCCATCAACAATGTTTGCTGTTTTCCCCAAATTCAAGATACTACAGCAAGTAACCACTAGGGATAGCTAAAGAGAGGAGTAAGTGAATAGACACGTTCACCATCACCTCTCCCTGCCTTTCCACTCCCATGTCTCTATTTAACTATTTATCTCCAGGATGTTTCCCCGTGTGATCAACCCACACAAATATATAAAATGCATCATTTCTAAAATGAACTTCTTTGATCTTCTATAGAGCATATTCCTGTTTAGTTACTTCTTCACCATCAGTAAAACAATTAGTTTCCAGTTTTTTTCTCACGATGAAAACTTTGGGGTGTTAACTAACTCAGCAGCAACAGCTCTCAGCGACTTTTATAAGAATCATGTCATTCATGCCTTTGAGGAAGAACCTGTTCTGCCTGCAGTTTGTCTACTCTATCAGATCTGAGCATCTTCGCCCAGCCTCCAAGCTATTTGCTAACTCTGCACCCCACGTTTCATTGAGGGAATTCTCCATATTTCTTTTCATGCCAGGAAATCAATGCACCGTTCTCACCCCTCCACTTGCTTCCTCCCATCTCCAGAGAGTCGCTCATGCCATCCTCCCCATGCCTCCAACAACACGCTTCACCCGTGCGACATTTTCTTCCTTCTTGCCTTCCACTTGGCCTCATCTCTTGCTCAGAACTCATATGAAGCCTTCGCTCCAGATGCCTTCTGTCCTCCGATGCACTGCTACCGCTGTATTCCCGTTCTTACATGCATGTTGCTTTACAGATATTCCCAAGCGATTTTTATACAGAGGTTCTCATCTGGAGAGTTTACCGCTGAAGACCAGATGCAGAAAATTTTCCATTTTTTTTTGTTTGTTTATTAACACTACACTTGGGGGGTCAGCCCAGAGTGCTGAGGTTGATAGAATGTTCAGCATGAAGTGGGCGCTCACGACATGTTATTTACTGATTACAAAAGGTTGCCTGATCCCCTGAAGACCACTAGAAGAGAAAGAGCAGTTAGAAGGGCTCCTAGGTGACGCATATTTTAAGGAGTTCGAATGAGACCCAGTTAGAAACCTTCCTCCAGTTCTCATATGTGTCATGCGAGCAGTAAAAGCCAACATAGGAAGAAATGGGGCTAACCGTGGCTTTTTGGATTGTTGCACACTTCTATTCTGCCCTGAATGCTTGCTTGGTTTGTATTAGGATTTCCTTCCTTACTGGAAAACATGGACTTTCTTCCTTTCTTTGGAAGAAGGGGGACCAGTTGGAAATCTGAGGCTCCGAGATTCAAATGCAGTGGGCTTGGCTCTGTGGTGCGTTTCTTGACAAGTCCTGAAAAGACTATTGAATTCTGCCTGTGCTTTTCTGCAGTCTTTGGATGTGTTTCAGCTGCAGTATTTGGCTGGATAGAGTAATCAAAATAGGTTTTTTTTCCCCTTCTCCCTCAGCAATGTTATGTTACTATTTCATCCTTACAGTTAAAATGGAATATTTTACAACCATGCAAATGCTTTTGAGTGCAATAGTTCTTTCAATAGCTGAACAACCAATCTTTAAAAATTACAGGTAAACTGGTCAAAATATAAACTGGTTACGCTGTCCTAATAAAAAAAAAAAACTGGCAGACATTTGGTGAGCTTGCTAGAGGATACCAAGTTACATTGAAAATCTTTGCTGTTAATATTAAATATAAGCATTTTGGTGAGACTTTTAGTTAATAGGGAAACATTTTTTCTCTTCTCTTTCATATGATTAAAATGCTCTATCTAGTAATCTCTGCAGAGTCACTAGCATTTGCATGTGGGGTGGGCTGGGGGTTTTGATTTTTTGTGTATCAGGCTTTTGTTCTCCAGGAAACTTCAAAGGGCTGCTGGCCTTTGAGCCTGCTCCATATCTAAAATTCTAGCTTTAATTATCAGATTAGCCTGCATTTTTTTTCTTTGTGATTAAGGAGAGAAGTGTGTTTATTATTCTGCAAAATGCTTGAGATAGTAGGATCCCACATGTCTAATTTTGTTCTAGAAATGAGAGCTGATCAAATTATAGACCCTTTCAAGCCAAGAGGGAGGGAGATGAATAAATCAGGGAAACAGAGGCACTGCGTGGCGCCATATAAATGGGCATTCGTGTGCTGCACTTTGCTAAACAGCACTGGCATTGTGCCTTTCAGGGTCCCTGCAAGTCATGAACAAAACGAGAAAGATTATGGAACACGGGGGGGCCACCTTCACCAATGCCTTTGTGACGACCCCCATGTGCTGCCCGTCGCGGTCATCCATGCTCACCGGGAAGTATGTGCACAATCACAACGTCTACACCAACAACGAGAACTGCTCTTCACCCTCGTGGCAGGCAATGCATGAGCCTCGAACTTTTGCTGTGTATCTTAACAACACTGGCTACAGAACAGGTAAGGGACGACACTTCTAGCCCCATTAACCTTTGATAATACGTCTTAGACACAGGAAAATGCTTTGTGTAATGAAATGCATCAAGTTCCAATGAGTCCCTAAGGGAAGCAGTCTAGCATTTCTCTTGTCTGTCAGTATTTTTCCCATTGCTCACTTTTTAGTCTGAACAATGTATCCGTGAAAGATCCCACGGAGAAAAAACTCAGAACAATTCCAGTGGACACAATATCGAAGTATTGTTCTCATCAGAGCACCTGGCAGTTGGAATCTTCCAGGATAACTCGGAATGGAAGAACTTTTGTTCCATTTACCTGCTTACCTCAACTTCCCAAATCGCTAAGGATCCTGGCACAACTTGAGGCTTGTCTTAGATGTTGGTAAATTCCTGCTCGTCATTTCAATGAAAAATATTTTCAAACAGCTTAGTACCTACCCGGGGGTCTGGGGCATAGTAGATGATTAAAATTGTTTATTGAATTAATGAATAACTTAATGAATAAACTGATGATATACCTTATTGATTTATTTATTCATATATAATTAATATGATTTTTTATTTTTATTTATTATGTGTACATAATAGTTGTATATCTTTATAAGGTACATGTGAAGTCTTGGTACTGACATACAGTGTAAATTAACCAAATCAGGGTAATTGAGGTATCCACCAGGCATTTAACATTTTTTTTGTGTTAGGAACATTCCAATTCTACTCTTTTAGTTATTTTAAAGTATACTCTAACTTATTGTTATAGGTATATAGTGATTATAGTCACTTTGTTGTGCTATCAAATATTGCTCATTCTCTCTATCTAACTATATTTTTGTACACATTAACCATCCCGACTTTATCTCCCCTCCCAGCTACCCTTCCCAGCCTCTGGTAACCATCATTCTACTTTCTGTCTCCATGAGATCAATTATTTCTAGTATTTAGCTCCCACATAGGAGTGGGAACATGTGAGATTTGTCTTTCTGTGCTTGGCTTCTTTCACTTAACATACTTTTCTCTAGTTCCATCCACATTGCTTCAGATGGCAGGATTTCGTTCCTTTTTCTGACCATATAATATTCCATTATGTATATGTACCACAATTTCTTCATCCATTCATTTGTGGGTGGGCACTTAGGTTGATTCCTTATCTTGGCTATTGTGAATAGTGTGCTGCAATAAGCATGAGAGTGTAGATATCTTTTCATCATACTGAATTCCCATCCTTTGGGTTTATACCCAACAGTGGGATTGCCAGGTCATATGGTAGTTCTTTTTTTAGGTCTTTGAGGAACCTCCATACTATTTTCCATAGTGGTTACACTATAATTCATAGGATTTTGAAAGTTCCTTTAACTTAAGTCATGGTCAATTTTAGGTCTCACATGTTCACTTCTATCTTCCAGAAGAGGAAGGCATCCTAACTGCTACACCTACTATCATCGTTTAACCTGCACAGGGCAAGAAGAAGTTTTGGTTAGCTGGTCTTTTGACAATCGGGGACCTCTTTCAAGAGGGGCTGGGAACATCATGCCAGTCTTTCTGAGAAAAAAAGCACGTCTCCTTCCAGTAATGTTGCCCCCAAGACCCTATCTCCCAGCCTGCAGATGCTGTCCTTGGGTTTTCAGAGCACTTCTTTGCTGACAGAAGGGCTGCAGTGCAAAAATAGGTCTGTGTTTTTCAGCACCACCTAGACTTGCTCATAAAAACTAAAGATATTATTAAAGCTTGTTGGAAATGATTTCAGGCCTATGAATTCTCTATTTTGAAGATTTAAAAGGAAAGGATTTCAGATAAATATTCTCTTAAATCCCTTTTAAAAATGAAATTAACCTTTCCCACTGGACTTAGGAAGCATGCGGCCATTTGCTTTATTTCAGAGCATGCTGCGGGCACTTACTACTTTTTATTTATGGATGGAAGTATTGATCGTGCATATGATAGGAACATCACTCACAGGCATCTCAAGATCTCTACTCATAGAAGAAGTTCATCCCGTGAATCTCAAGGGTGTTTGCTTGTGTTTAGGAAAAAAACTAGGTTACAGAGAGGTTAGAAAGTGCCTTATCCTGAGTGTGTTTTCCCACATTAGTTATTTAAATTTATAGCACCTTTCATCCGAGGACTCTAAAGCAATTTGCAAATCCATCAAACATCCCTGTAGGCTTCATGAACGGCAAATGCACTTGGCTCTGTTTCATAAAGGCAGGGATTTCAAATATCATTTGACCAGCTCAGAAACAGAATCAGAAACAGTTCCCTAGTGCCTGGTTCCTGATTTAACCCACCAAATTGTGTTTTGCTCGTGGGAAGTGTGTGGAATCAGTGCCTTTCAACTGTCAGGCTCCCTATAATTTAACCCCTAGCAGCAGACATCGACAGGAAGGGTTGGGGCACTCACGTATCCAGAGTGATATAGATGGTGTCGTCATAAGAAATAGAGATCCAAGCTGAGACAGCCCACCCTTGGGTTAGAGCAGGCAACTAAGGTTTGCTAATTTGTTTCAGGACCAAATCAGGAAAGGCAAGAAAGAAGGGAATTCGCTTTTGTTGTTGTCTCCCTAATCCTTTTTTTTTTTTTTTGAGACAAGAGTCTCTCTTTATTGCCCAGGCTAGAATGAATGCTGTGGCATCAGCCTAGCTCACAGCAACCTCAAATCCTGGGCTCAAGCAATCCTCTCCTCAGCCTCCCGAGTAGCTGGGACTACAGGCATGCCACCATGCCGCTAATTTTTCTATATATATAGTTGGCCAATTAATTTCTTTCATTTATAGTAGAGACGGGTCTTGCTCTTGCTCAGGCTGGTTTTGGACTCCTGACCTGGAGCAATCCACCGCCTCGCCTCCCAGAGTGCTAGGATTACAGGCGTGAGCCACCGCACCGGCCAACCCCTAATTTCCTTATATTCATAAACTTGAAGAGATCAAGAAAGGATTCACCCATGTTACCACTGAAGAAGCCAACCGCTCGGAGGGCTGTCAAATGTCACAAGCTAGTCAGTGGTGGAACGAACTCAGCACATCTGACTCTAGTCTTTCCTCTTTCCATTATGCTATTTACTGACATGTGATTCTACTGCCTCCGTGCAAAATGCTTAGAGAGAGACACCTACCACAGGAACAGTAAGGACCGGGCAACAGAAGCCAAGCATAGAAGTATGAAGTCAGGGCGAAGGTTGGCGTACAGGCTGCTTGCTTGGAGTTGCAGGGAGGTTGCTACCTTGGAAGCAAGCATCTAGATGAGAAAAGCAAGAATGGGGACACACCATTGCAAAGTTCGCTGGGTCACCAGGATAAAAGCAAATCAGGTGCCTCCAAGAAGCACAGTGTATTCTGTTACTTGTCTCAGTGACACTGTGCTGCATCCACCCTAAGGTGGATTAAAGGAGCTTGACTAAAACTCAGAGATAATTTAGTTCAATTTCCTTATTTTTAGAGGAGTAAACTTACACCCACGAATTAAGGTGACTGCTGAAGTGACAGACCTGACATTCAATGGGAAGCAGCACAGGACCTTGGGTCCTCAGGGCTCTGTCCAGTGTTTGCCCTTACCTGAAGAGTGAGGTTGGAGTGAAACGAGACCCAACGCCATCAAGGCTTACTGAGAAGGACTGTTGGCGACCTGCTTCAGTCAGGTGTCTTCTCCTGGAAACCACGTCTGATTCGAAAAGCCAACTTCCTTCCAGGGGTTTTAGACACTTAGGTAATAACGGAATTTAGAGAGAGTCATTCTCCCAATAAAAAATTTCAAGGGGAATAAGGATTTCTCCAAATGCTTAGGAATAGAAAAAGATATAGTGCCCTCATGAAAGTAAATTTTTGGTGTGCGCTATGAGTAAATCAGAAAGATTAAAATTAGAAGAAAATAGCAGTGATAGCTATAATCATTTAAACTATCTCGATGGGCAAAACCATTAAAGTATTTCAGACAATATATGGAAGAGATCTTTGTGGCAATGGTGACTGATCAACCACGGACGATGACCCATTTGAAAATAGGAAATAAGCATGTGAGTAACAGGCATCTTAAGAATTAAGAGATTGGTGAGTAGGTTAAACAATGTAATATTATAAGATAGTAATCTAGTGGGAAAGCTAGTAGGGAAAAAGCTGATATATAATACTTAATTGTTTCACTAGTAATGAATCATAATTTGGAACATTTAGCTGAGAACCTAAGGAAAAATAATGAAGAAACAAATATGTTTAACATAAAAATGCATCTAGAAAAAAAGCATAAGGCAGCAGTAAGATTTACAAAGAACGACTCAAAGAAGACAAAATTACTACGAGGCTTATTCCTGGAGGTGTCCAGCATCCATGATTTAATGATCGAATTGATCCAATATTATATTTACCGTTGTAGACATGATTTTTCTTTTACAGAACGAGCATAGTTTTGGACCGCCGCTTAAGCTAAATTTCTGACTTTACTCATGGAAAATATGAGTCTACAAGAGCTTAAATGTTCAAGAAGGGGGAAAATACAGTAACATGTCTACTGCACTTTATGTTCTGACAAGTGAAGTGGGAATGATATTGGGTTATCTATCATAAAAGTGAATATATTCGCCTATTTGCTCCAAAAAAAATTAGTTAAATTCTTATGAAGGGGTACAGACATATGATAAACCTGCATAAGTTTTAATGTAAAATTATCATCCTACAGTGGGAGTTAGCATCAGGGTATTGGAGAAAACCCTGAACTAGGCGTGAGGCAGGCTGGAGTCACATTCTACTCTGCCTTGATTTTGTTTTACCAATTGGCGCAGGCCAGTTTCCAAACCTGTATAACTCGAGAGAAGTGCCTACCATGCTGCCCTACACTTTTCTGCCTGTCCCAGAATTACTGCATTGCTAACTTACTATGCGCACG